GAGCTTAACCAAGATGGCTAGCTCTGATACCATAAAAGGAAATCAGAAAAATAAGGAAACATAAAGATGGAAAGAGACATTTTCTTCATTGATGTTAAACTTGGTTTTTGAACCCTTACAAGCAGCTTTCTGTCATTTCTCTACAGCAACAAGAACTAAGGAAATGTATTTATACAATCAATGCACTACTCAGCACCATTGGATTGTTTACACGTGCCAACTCTCCTCTACAAGCCATTGGATGGTTTTGCAAGCTTTTAGGGTTAGTCTTCTTGTCTTTTAGCTCAAGTAAATTTCTGCTGCCTTTTTCTTTTTCTTGTTCCATGCATGATTTGTCCAATGATGTGGCAATGCTATAGACAAGACCATTGACTTCTCCAAGTTTGTTGTCCAAATCATTTTCCACGTGTGCATGCAAAGCTGCATGGCTCTCAACAGTAGTTACGTCTTTGTTTGTCGAAAATTTATTTGACTAAAATCGAATCAATCGCAATATTGTAGTTTTTTTTCTTGTTCTTAACCAAGAAAATCATATTATCAAATTGCACTGCCATTTGGAACTCAAAAGAAATATATTGTGTCGAAATAGTTTTTTCGGTGACTGTAATTATGAGTGTGGAATGTAAAGTGAAAATGTGTCTGATTTTTATTTTACTTATAAGCACCTACAGAAGTCTATTAACTAATTAGTGTAAATACCAACAAATCAAGAGCATGATTAGTTGAAAATATTTTGATAACTGGAAAAATATGAACTATATAATAGTGACGCATTTGATATGATTTTTTAAACTGAAATTTATGTTCCACCAACTAAAGATTTTATATTTAGAGTCAAAATTTATGTTTTTGTTTGTATTTATTAATTAGACATGTGCTTTTATCATATAAAAATTATTATTTTTTCTTAAGTTATTTTTATCATTCAAAATTAATTGAGATTTAAATTGTATTTTAACCATGCAACGTTTATATTAGTAATATGAATAAAATAATTTATATATTTGTAGCATATATTAAGAAAATTAACATAAATAAAAAAATTATTAGTGTTTCTGATTTTCAGAAAAAAAAAATATATGTGTCAATCATGCACAAATGTACATATAATATTATAAGTAATATTTGAGAATTTAATATTAAAATTTTAGATAATGAACATATTACATTTTCAAAAAATTGATCATTAGAAAAAAAATAATGATTTTATTATTATTAACAATTGTATATTACCATTCGATACTAATTGTTTAATTATTATTATTATTATTATTATTATTATTATTATTATTATTATTATTATTATTATTATTATTATTATTATTAAAACAATTGTTTATAAGATTCTAAAGTTGTTTGACTATGCTATTAAAATAATTTACTAATTATTTTTAAAGAAATTTTTGTCATGAGATACAAAAGAAAAAGATAATATTAATGTTAAAATAAATAACTTAAAACAATTGTTCTTAATTATGTAATTTATATCTATTGTGAATTATTATTAATTGGTATTAGCAATAATTATTATATAATATAATAGAAAAATAAATGATTATACTCATTATGATGTATTAATGTGAGAAATAAAAAATATTAATGATAATTTTTGTAACCGAAAATGGAGGGAAAATGTTAGAGGTTTTATTAAATAGGTAAAATTAAATGCTATATGCTAGCAAATATATATATATATAGATAATAATACCATATTATTTTGAAAGAGATATCTTATTGTTAAGATTTTTTATTATAATAAACTAACATAATTAATTGGTAATGTGGATGAATATTTAGGTAATAAATATATATGAATCTAACTTAATAATTACAAATTGATATTAAATATTTATCAATAAATGAGCAATATTTTATATACTTTCCCTTAAATAAAGTGTTTAATAATATATAAAATATTTTGTTTGTCATTTTTTTCCAAACACATTTACATACTATCACCATTTAAAATTGCTAATTTAAATTATTCACGTGCATCGCACGAGCTACGCGCTAGTCAATTTTTTTAAAAAAAATAAAAAATAAAAAAAAAATAGGGCATTAATTATCCTCATCTAAACGATGAAATATCACCTTATAATCTAAAATGTTTCAAAATTAAGAGTCAGTATGGTTTCGTAATTTATAATAAGCGTTCTTGTTAGATTTTGTGGCCTATATATAAATGCAAAATTCAATATATTTAACTTATATGTAAAATTTTCGGTGCTGCCTCATAGTTTGTACCTCAAAATATAGCACTTTTAAAACTTGATGTTGTTTGTTGTGTTAATGTTTTCCTTTTTCATTCGTTTATACAAGGATATAATTGGTAATTTTGGCTATGGTTAAAAGCTACACAAACTTTATGAGCATATTATATATCATAAAACGATTTTGCAATTGTACCCAAATAATAAATAAATAAAAGGATTTTGCAAGTCTAATTCATCATTAGTCTATGGACTACTTAGTCACATTAGTTCATTTCATACTCAAGTATCCTCAAACATTATAATATATATATATATATATATATATATACTAGTCGCCGTGCATAACCGACTCAAATTTAGTCTATAATCAAATTAAAATTTGGCGAAATGTACCCTTACAATTTCCCACATGTTCCTAAAAGTAGTAAGAATGAGATAAGAGTACTTGTACATAAGAGTACTTGCAATTGTATATACCAACCAATTATAGTGAACATTCAAAGAAACAAATCTTAGCCATTTGTATGATTTATGGTATGATTAAAAACACTTTACAATGATTTCGCATCTCATATGATTTGGTTCAGCTTCCTCTCCGTCGAGTGATTCACTTTTATTGTATTTTTGGGAGAGGTTCGGCTCGTTTTTCAGCTCCTCCTCTGCCCGCCAACTTCTTTGGGGCCCATCCTTGTGCGTAATCCTCCTCTTAGCGCTCCTACTCATCGTTTTCCTTGTCTTGACTGTGTTTCAAAAGAGAGGATATGCGTGCAGAAAAATCAGGGAAATGTAACATAGTTTAAAATACAAAGGCAATAATTTAGAAATTGACACTTGAAAACTGTAATCCTATTTAAACAGGAAGATAACGAGGAAGCTTCAATAGGGTGTCCGTCTTACTGTGAAAACAGTGAGATCGTACATATTTGTTGCTATATTTGTTAGCAACGAAAAATTGGGCTGCACAAATAATCTAACATGTAGTTTGATCGATCACATCAGTAGTTGTAATTTTTCTATTTTTTTCCCTTAATGCTTGCGACTAAAATAATAGCAAAGATTTTATCTCTTTTCTTTTCTGACATAAGATGTTTCAACTCAAAAATGGAGTAAAACAAGATAATCACTATCAGTATATATTATTTGGTGCCAATAGTTTTGCCTTCTATATTAACAATTACTTATTACAAATTCAACAATACATTATTTAATAACAGGACCTAAGCATTAAGTTTTTTTGGTAATCATGTAATTATGTTTGTGTTAATTAAAGACCACAAGTGTGACGCAGATAATTAGATAAGTAGTAGTTACAGTATAATTGTTTTTCACTTTATTGTTATCTTACATAGATGCAGCTGAGATCTATGAAATGTGTTGGTTTCCTGTTATCTTTTAGTGTCTCTTGGTATTGACCCGGATGAGACCAACCCAAGATTTTCTCTTGTGTGCCTTATAGACTTTCAAATTAGGAAGAAGCACTTCATATTCCGAAATAGTTCTGTAATAATATTAGTAAATAGAATGTAATCAGTGCTCGGATGCATATGATTGTGTTCGTTGCTGTTCGATTCTCTTCCCAGCGATGCACATGTTGTCTATCCTTCTAATGCATATTTAAATGATTCGAGTTATTAATGATTGAAAATATTAGGGTTGCTAATGGCAAGGTTTTTGAAGTA